CTCTACAACATTGAATCATCATACAGAGGAGCTTGAGACTGAGATTAGAGGAGAAGTATCCAGAAGAAAGAAGAGATCGATCCATGGTAGTGAAGATGTCTTCCTCAACCATAAAGAATTCCACTCCAGTCATGCTTGGCTAAACGCTTTGCTAGGGTTGTGATGTAGCGCTAACTTAGCCCACTGGTTTGATTGTATTTAATTATTGGAGAATAATTTTTATCATGCATGATTGTGTAATCTATAGGATTTTTAATTGACTTTTCAATAAGAATCGGTTTTAGAGTTTTAATTCAATTGCAAATATTTTAGACCTCGGATTGCTGTGGTTTTTGCAATCATTATGCATAACAAGAACTTGTCCTTTGTTAATCTTCAGAGGCGGGTATTTCAGGGTCCATAAGTTTGTCACAATTGCTTCAACGCAGAAGACACCAATAACCATTTATTTTGCACTTGTGAGTATGCTAAGCAAGTTTGGCAACAGGTTGTTCTTCGGTTCAATATTACTGATAGGAGTTTTCAGGAGCTCAATTTGTTTGTGGAATGGATAATTCAGAATACTCGGGGTAAGGGAATCAGATCTGAGTTGCTAAAGGGACTGTTTGTGGTTTATGTTTGGAAGATTTGGATGGAGAGGAACTCAGCTTTACATCGTGATATCAAAGTCTCATCTGCTGCTGCTGCAAATGACATTGTTTGGGAAGTTTTACAATTTTTTTCTCTTGGCCTTGCTGATTTTCTAGCCATTTTTAATGTGGTGTAATTTTCATTGTTGTTTATCAGTTTGTTTTTGTATTGGATTGGTTTCCAATTCATTCTCATTGTAAAGAGGGGTATGCCTCTCTATTGTACTTGTATTCTTATTTTCTTTTCTTTTTATAAAATCAACCCATTCAGGAAGAAAATATATATATATATATATATATATTTTTTTTTTTTTTCTATCTTGTCTTAGATATTTTAATCTTGTGATTGAACACAACTCATTCACTTTTTGTAGTTGTGAATGAGATGATTACACAATGGTATTTCTCTGAATATAATGTTAGAGATTTGATGGATTATGCCTAGAAAAGATAGACCATGCTACACCCTAGAGTAAAGTAGTTAGGTAGATGGTTTATACCAATCGAAGATAGTCCATGCTTAACTTTAAATTATATTATTTTCTAGCTGAATTAATATGTGCTTGTAGCCATGATTAATTTCCTATGCGTGTTATATGATATATCTCCAATAAATTGCTGCAATTGACTAGTGGTGCGACGTTAGTGGTGAAATCATACCTCTAGTTCTCTTTCTCTATTTTCTACATCCTATTTAATTATTGTTCTTTATTTTATTTTCTGCTTAGTTAATGTAGAATAAATCATCACAATTCGATTATCCTACTCTTAAGTTAATTTGGAATTTAATAAATCTGTTGACAAACTTATTTTACACAAGTCCCTTAGGTACGACACCCTTACAAGTAAACCCTATCTGCAAAGATTTGTGCACTTGTGAGTGGTACATATAAATCTGACAACATATTTCCCTTTCATATTAGAACCGTTATCATACCCTTGCCCTTTTAAATCACTAATATCAAGTTCAAGACCTTTCAAAGCATCTATAAGTTCATCAAAAAGCCTTTGCCCTGATGTATCATCCACCTTTAGAAATCCTAAAAAGCACTCTTCTACATTTATCGGACTTGCTGAAACATTAACACATCTTAATATAAGTAACATTTGCTCTTCATGACTTGCATCTGGAGTACAATCGAGAATAACTGAAAAGTATTTTGCTTCTTTAATCCTTTTAATGATTACACATTTGATTTCATTCGATATTTGAAGAATAAATTCATTTTGAATTTTGTGACTAAGATAATGGTAATGAATTTATCTATCTTGAATTCGATGAATGTGCTCTTTCATTATTGGATCAAATTCAGCAATCATTTCAATTATGCTTAAAAAGTTTTCATTATTTTCTTCATAAAGCTTCTTATTGTCCCCACGAAATGTCAAACTATTTTTACTAAGAGTTTTCATAACGGAAATTGTTCTCAATAATACTTGCCTCCAATGTTCTCTATCTTTGTTGATTTTTTCTTCCACAATTTTATAGATTGTTGCATTTTTTTTGTAATCTGATTTTTAATTCAATCCAATTCTGCATGTTAACAATGTGTTCACAACTAGTCTCGTGACTTTTAAGTTTGTCACAAAGATTTTTCCAGTCATTGACTCATTCATTTGCCAAATGAGTTTTTTATTCGTAACATTTAAACAACTTACAACAAAAACAATAGACTCTATTGAAAGAACTCGAATAGATTAGCCATCTCCTATCATGTTTTTCACCGTTTGACAAGCTAGTGTGGAAAGTAATATGTAGAATAAAAATGTCTATTTTTTGAATTTTTAGGAAAATTTTCAAGTTTAGCATATGTTGGAGGACCTCTTTCAACTAATAAATCTCACATTTTTTTTTTTTTTTTTATCAATATCTTTCCAATTTCTTGATTCATTAATGTTCAAAGGAAGATTATCATTCTCATTCATATATTCTTCATTTACTGAATCTTTAAGTTCATTCACATTTTCTTCATTTTGATTCTCATTCCTATCTTCATTCATTAAATCTCCATGTTCATTAAAATTTTCTTCATTCCTATGTTCTTCATTCACCAAATCTTCAACTAAACTCTCAGTTTGTGCATTGTTCCTAAAAAACTTATAAATAACACCTTTTTGAGATTCAATCAATTATTCTTCTATGTTTTTTTTTTTTTTTTTTTTTTTTCATACCCAGATTCAAATTTTCATGTAGACATAATTGTTAAAAATCTTGAAATCTTAGAAATTTAAATAACTGGAAACACAATCAACATAAAACTAAACTTTAAAAAAAAAAAATGTTTTGCTGAAAGAAAATATAGACTACCTTAATGGCTTAATGATATGTCTTCAAGTGAAGGATTGCTCATGAGATGACTAAATGATATGATTTACAAAAAACAAAAATACCTCATGAGATGTCTAAATAATATGTCTTCAAGTGAAGGATTGCTGAATTGGAAGTTTGGAACTCCTGTGTTACAAATTTACAACAAATTCATTGAGTTCACAGTTCACACTGAAGAATAAGATAAATTAAATCAAAATAATTTTTTGGTTTAAGAACTACTTGAATTAGAGTACTGTGAACTGAAGTCTAGAACAAAGGCAAGCCTAACCGCAATGGAGTATGTCACCATCTGAGCTCTTCTCTGACCAAATTTCACTAACAACCTGCGTAACAAAGGGGCCTAATATAACTTTTAGAGGCATCAAATGATCAAAATATGATGATGTTACGGGAGAAATCTGTCATTTTCTTGTTTGTTTCCTTTATATTTCAATGTTTCCTTAGAAATATTTATTTCCCCAAGTTCATTTGAGAGGAAAAATAAAAATAGATAGAGAAAAGGAAAAATCAGTTTATTTCTTTTTTAATTAATCCAATCTGATAATTTTATCAAGGAGAAACAGAGTTATGAGAGAGATGCGAGTGTGGTGGCCAAAAGTTTCCCCATGCTCCCTTTTTATTCTTCAGTAGCTGTTTGAATGCTTGTAAACATTAGAACAGAAAGATTACTTGGTAGTTGGTACCTTACAGCAGGTTGTGCTCGGCCACCATGCGATGCGAAGAATAAGACGATGACAGGGCCGGCCCTGATCCAAGGAGGTCGCCTAGGGCCTCATAATTTAAGGGGTATGGAGGTGCCCAGACTTTTAATATAATCCTTTCACTATTTTAGGAGACTGATATTATTTGAATTAGTAATTAATTACAATTGAGGTAAAATGATAATAGTAATTAGTTTCATAAGAGGAAATAAATCAATTTTATTTGATACAACTTTTTAAGATTTGGTTGATTAACTGTAAATGGAAGAATATCATTTTCATTGAAATCATATATGAAAACATTTTTTTTTAAAAGACAAAAAGTTAAGGAAGAATATAACAAGAAAAATTTTATTTATTTATTTATTATTCTTTTTGATAATCTTAATTTTCCATATCAATTAAATATGTCTTCATATTCTGCCCAAATATATATATATATATATATATATTTCTTGTTATATACTCTTCCTTAACTTGTTATCTCTAAAAAAAAATCATGTGGTAAAAAAAAAAAAAAAAATCTTGTTATATACTCTTCCTTAACTTGTGGTCTAAAAAAAAAAAACCATCATGTGGTAAAAAATTCTTGTTATATAACCATCATGTGGTGCTTTAGGATGTGGACTTGTTTAATTGATAGAAAAATAAGATTACAAAAAACAAAAAACAAAACAAAATAATAATAGTAATAAATTTTTTGTAATACTCTTCCTTTTAACTTTTTTTCTTTCAAAAAAATGTTGTCATGTGGTGCTAATTAAGTAGTAAATTTTTGAAGACGTGTTTAATTGATATATATATATATAAATATATCATATATGATTTCAATGGAACAGATATATTCATATATGATTTCAACGTGATTTCAATGGAACATATATATTCATCGTTGATCAACTAAATCTTAAACGGTTATATCAAACAAAACTGATTTTTTTTTTTCTTTTTATGAAACTGTCTATTATAGTAATTTTACTTCAATTGTAATTAATTACAAATTTAAATAATATCACTTCCCTAAAACAGTGCAAGGATGCAAGGATTATATTAGCCATAAGATTAAATCCTGCGACTACTGTATACACATATACTCTACACATATATAAAAGCAATATAATTTTAACAGCATTTTGGGAATTTTATCAAAAAATTAATCAAAATTGATGATTAGGGGGCAATTTGCTCCAACATTTGAAAATACAAGGATTTATATACACTTATTTTTTAATAGGGATGTTTCTTGCACATTTTATATATAGAGGGGTTTTTAGCACTTAAACCCTTATAAGAACAAGAAAAAAAAAAAAAACTTACGAGGGAAAGATACATTGAAAATAACCTAAATAATCATTTTCATTAAACAAATCCCAAAAAGTCCATCGGGGACAAAAAAAAAAAAAAAAAAGAATTTTTATAACGTTTACTATACACAGTTTATGGGGCCGTCTATCTCACCAAAGCCGGTTGGAACACCTTATATAACTGTAGTATGTTTACTAAAATACATCTTCACTAAGCCTGAAAGCAGTAACTAATGGTCTGCTTACCAAAAGTACAACCTCAAGAGACCAACCCGGTCAGGAACATTCTTGTAGGGAGCTCGAACTTGAACAAACGGTTCTTGACTGACCTAAATACATGTCCAACTTTGTGGATGGATTGCCATGATAAGTCCCTACCTTCTCTACAATAATGTGCCCAGATATTCGGTCTAAATATTCGCCAAAAAACCTGTGCTGGAAAACTCGATTGATATTGACTTCAAAAGAACTTTGCATCAAGCATTTCTCAAGCGTTTCTGCTTTTCCTATGGTTGGAATATTGACTTGCACCAATAACTGGCTGAATCACAACATTCACCCTGAAATGCGCCCAACAAAAGGATTAGTATAGGTATTGCACGTATATGAAGTCAGGAACTAAAAGATAAGCTAGACAATCTTTTAGTTACAGCAACAATCTCAAGCATAAAGCTAACCAAATAAATGCTCCATTATGCAGTTAAAATCATATGTAAATAGCATAATACGGTAAAATGTGCACAGCTGCACTTGTCCACACACCATCTTGAAAAAACTGCTTCCAAAGAGTTCAAACTTCACAAATCCAACACTGTTTATTGTCAGTTCCATTTATTCTTCTTTTATATAGAGCTTAAGGTTGTTCAAAATTAGATAGGTATCTCTTTTTTCATTATTTTACAACCGAATAAAATTTCTGTGGCATACGGGATGGCTGGCTGAAGGTCTAATGTCTACGGAAAGAGCACCTACAGTGTCTTGCTCTTTGCAAGTGACGCTAATGTATTCAATGACATTGAATAGAATCACATTATGTAACAAGGTTATGTGCTTCAGTGCTTTGAGGTTGTCACCTGGTAAGAGTCGGGATCAACTTATACCTGGTGCTAAAGGTAGTACTTAACTTTGTTGTGCCATTGATACCAATTTGATGTGGAAAAGTAGGATGACGCAAAAGCATACAAGTACAAAATGCACAAGATGATTTAATATAGCGGAAGTCATAATTCACTATATACAGTAAAGAAATTATATTAGATAGAGAATACACTACTGCAGCCAACACGAATACCTGAGCCATGAAACAATCCTAGTTTCCCTTCTCTCCCGGTATCATGTGTCCTGAAACAACCCAATTCTCTAATCGCTAGTATACTTCAGACTCTCTACAGAAACCCTCTTAACCCTCACAAATCCATTTACCTCACAAGTTGATTCTCAACTAACTGCCAATTGATTGCATGGACACCAAACAGAGTCATGCACTTGAGTTCCTTTTTTTTTTTGTTTTTCATTATAGAGAATTTCTGTTTCTCCAACAAAGCGTTGTGCAAACCCAACTGAAGCAATGGCGAGGCATCATAATTGGTTAATGTTATTTTACATGGAAAGCACAAATTCCTTACAAGATTCCAGATTTAGATTTTGTTATTTTCTTAAGCGTGCATAAGGTTGTATGAAAGGATGGTGTTGTTTATGGTGAATATTTCAAGTTTCGCAGAGAAAACAACTTGGCAGATTTAGTGTTTGATTGGACAAGGAGATTTTACGAATTTTATCTCAAATTCTTAAATTTAATGGGTTTTATTTTTTGGGTAGAGAAATGAATTATTAATTATGCTTGGAGCTTACAAAAGAATCAGTGATAGGAATTTCAGTAAACCCAAGGGAAAACGGGATCCTCCCCCACATTATGTGTCCCTAGATAATTTGTATAGAGACAAGAAATGCTAGAATTCGGGAATCTTTTTTCTTAATTGATACTCACACACACATTCCTCCACTGAGGCTCAAGCCCCTAACCTCCCTTTGAGAGCAGAGGTCTCGTACCGCTAGGCCACTGGCTTGTTGGTTAGAATCCAGGAATCTTGTTAACTTACTTGCAAGTAAGAGATTTTTTATCTGCCTGGGTTAGGTCCCATGATTGTTCCCCGTTGGGGTTTTCTAAGTAAATGTGTTAATGTGTTATTGCATGGTTTATTTAGTGGGAAAAACCGTAAAATAACAAACCAACCCATCCGCTATCCAGTTTTGGCAAAATACCACCCCCTCCTTTTTTTCCCCTTCAATGAACACCTTATTCTTTTTGAGATTGCTGCAATTACTCCTTCCATCATATAATGATGGACATTACATATAAGAAGCACAATATGACAATTTTTCCCTTGATCAATTTTAACCTATGTGGTAACAATTTAGTTTTTTACTGTTGCGACTAGAGAGAGAGAGAGAGAGAGATATAACACAGTGGATACATAATGTGTATTTCATACATATCAAACCCTAGTACAATGGCTTATATAGAGTACAGGTCTCAGCTAATTACACAATGACCCTACCAACTATACGTAATTACATAATGACCCAAAATATTCTAACACTCCCCCTCAAGCTGGAGAGTATATATCAAATAATCCCAGCTTGGAACAGATAGTCCTTAACCGATTATGACCCAATGCCTTGGTAAACATATCAGCTAACTGATCTTCAGACTTCACAAATGAAGTAAAGATGCTCCCACTTAATATTTTTCCTCGAATGAAGTAACAATCAACTTCAATATGTTTGGTCCTCTCATGAAACATAGGATTTGATGCAATGTGAACAGCTACTTGATTATCACAGAACAATGGAGTAGGAGTTTCAACTGTTAACCCAAGTTCTTTTAGAAAATGTTGTATCCAAGTCAACTCACTAGTTGTATGGGCCATTGCCCTGTACTCAGCTTCAGCACTAGATCGAGCTACCACCGTTTGCTTTTTACTTTTCCATGTAACAAGATTTCCTCCTACAAATGTACAGTAGCCTGTAGTAAATCGCCTGTCTGATGGAGAACCAACCCAGTCAGCATCTGAAAAACCTTCCACCCTGAGATGACCATTTGATTTATATAGTAACCCAAAACCTGGAGCTTGCTTGAGATATCGGATAATCCGAAGAACAGCAACCCAATGTGGCATTCTAGGAGCTCCCATGAACTGACTTACAACACTAACTGCATATGAAATATCAGGTCGAGTGATAGTGAGATAAATTAATTTCCCAACAAGGCGACGAAATCTGCCCAGGTCATTAAATAGATCACCCTCATCAAACACAAGTTTTGTATTTGAATCCATAGGAGCATCAACTGGACGACCACCCAACATTCCTGTTTCTTCTAACAAGTCCAACACATATTTGCGTTGAGATAAACTTATACCCTTCTTGGATCTAACAACTTCAATACCCAAGAAATACATAAGTTTACCCAAGTCTTTAGTATGGAATCGATTTTGCAGAAACAACTTCAACTTAGCAATGCCTTCAGAATCATCACCTGTGATCACAATATCATCTACATACACCACAAGAAAAATGAAGCCAGCTTTAGTGCGCTGGTGAAATACCGAATGATCGGTCTGACATCTGTTAAGACCAAATTCTAATGCCGCCTCAGAGAATTTTAAACCCGTGGAGATTGTTTCAATCCATACAGGGCTTTTTTAAGGCGACAAACAGTGTGACAATACTCCCCCTAAGCAACAAACCCGGGTGGTTGCTCCATATAAACTTCTTCAACTAAGTCACCATGCAAGAAAGCATTCTTGACATCTAATTGAAACAAAGGCCAGTGACAATTGGCAGCAATGGAAATAAGTACCCGAATAGAAGAAATCTTAGCAACAGGAGAAAAGGTCTCATCGTAGTCTATACTATAAGTCTGAGTGTACCTTTTTGCCACCAGACGACCCTTCAACCGCTCTCAATAGACCCATCGTGAAGGTATTTAATAGTATAGACCCACTTACAACCAACCGTTTTGGAGCTCGGAGGTAAGGGAACAAGATTCCAAGTCCGATTACGGTGCAGGGCATCCATTTCATCTACCATGGCATTATGCCAATCCGAATTAGAAAGAGCATCCTGCAAAGTCTTGGGAACAAACGTAGCAGACATTTTGGATAAAAAACAAGATAAAGAGGTGGAAATATTATGGTAGGAGACAAAGTTAGAAATGGGATGTGCAGTAACACACGACCGAATACCTTTATGGAGAGCAATGGGCAAATCATCAGGTAAAGGCGTCGGATCCGAAGACTCTGAAGGAGATGGAGGGAACGAAGTAGGCGGTCGAGGTCGTTAAGTATAAACCTGCAAGGGGACAACAGAGCGAGGAGGTGGGGAGGTAGGAAGCAGAGAGGAAACAGTTGGTATAGGTAGCGCTAGAGTAATATCGAGAGGGGTAGTAGAATCAGAAAAAAAATAGGAGAGACTCAGAAAAGGAGACATCAGCACTAGTGAAATAGCGCTGAAAATGAGGACTGTAGCAACGATAACCCTTCTGAGTGCGAGAATACCCAAGAAAAACACACTTAGTGGCACGGGGGTTGAATTTGTCAAGACCGGGCCCAAGGTTATGGACATAACACACACATCCAAAGACCCGAGGAGTAAGATTAAACGATGCGGAGTCGGGAAATAGAACAGAATGAGGAGACTGCCCTTTTAACACTGACGAAGGCATCCGATTAATAAGATGACAGGCTGTAAGAACAGCATCACTCCAAAAACGTTTGGGAACATGCATATGGAATAAAAGGGCACGACATACTTCGAGGAGATGACAATTTTTACGTTCAGCTACTCTATTTTGTTGAGGAGTATAAGTACAAGATGATTGATGAATGATGCCTTTAGCATGAAAATAAGTCTCAAACGGGTCCGAGAAATATTCTTTGGCATTGTCAGAACGTAAAACTTTAATGGAACATCCAAATTGAGTTTTGATTTCTTTGCGAAATATTTGAAAAATAGAGAATAACTCAGAACGATTTTTCATTAAAAACAACCAAGTCATACGAGAATGATCATCCACAAAAGTCACAAAATAACGAAATCCATTAAGAGAAATATGTTTTATTGGGCCCCATACATCTGAATGAATTAACTGAAAAGGACTAGCAATACGATTGGTAGCTCTCGGTTTGAAAGATACACGACAATGCTTACTAAACTGACATGCTTCACAAGGCATGGACTCAACACGACTAAGACTAAGACTGGGGACTTGACGCTGCAAAACTGATAAGGATGGGTGGCCGAGACGACAGTGCCACTGGAAAGGAGACAAAGATGATTGAAGAGCCATGGGAGTTGGCCCAATATCAAAGTAATACAAGCCACCTGCTTCATGTCCTGTACCAATCTTCTTCATCGTCTTGAGATCTTGAAAAATACAACACGAGGGATAAAATGTAACGGAGCAATTAAGAGATTTAGTAATTTGACTAATGGACATCAAATTAAAAGGGAATTGAGGAATAAATAATACAGAGGAAAGGGACATAGAGGACGTGAG